TTTGCAAGGACAGAAACGTATGGAGGCAATAGCGAATGGGATTGGTGCTGACTCAATTCAATTTGCTCTTTATTTCCTGCCTTTCTTTTGTTCATGATTTCTTACCACTTTGCTGCATTTTGCATAATGTTGCTTTCCCTAAAGGGGCATAGATAAGGTGATGGAAATATATGTACATATATATAAATACTAGTGGGAAGTCAACAAGATGTTTCCATGGTGCAGACAGAGGCATCCTTTGCCTTCCCAGCCACCATCTGACTGCTAGAAGGAAGATTTTTAAAAAGCCCAATTTCTCTTTGGCCTTTCTGCTAATGGATTCTACTAGAAAGTGGCTTCACCAATCAGCACTGCCACATTATCAGTATTTTCCTTGCCATTTTGATAGTGATTTTTAAAAATATTTTATTTTGTGCAGTACCGCCAGCACTTTTAAGGTCCTAAATAGTTTGGAATGTGGCTTTTTATTTTTAATCTCCAGGTGTCTAATTGAGTTTGGAGCCACCAAGGGAATAACTGTATTGGCCTCCTGTTGTAGGGGATGCTCTACTGCAGTGTTTCTTCAGGTCAGCAACACTAAGCTGTGGATTTCAACTCCCAGAATTCCACAGCCAGCATGGGGGATTCTTGGAGTTGAAGTCCACTCATCTTAACGTTGCTGTCTAGACTTTCAACTTGGTGCCAAAAGCTAGAAGGGAGGCCCTACCATGAAGAGGCTGGTGCAGGTTAAAATATATAGGAAATAATAAACATTTTTGAATTAATCCTGACGGTCCAGAGCCCATATGGATGCTGGAGTGGAAGATTTGTTGCACTTGTGTCAGCTTAAGATGAAGAAAATTAAACAGACTGCAGACCATAAGACTCAGGTCAGCTCCTTCTAGCCACCTTTTCCTGTATTTAATCTGAGTTTAAGAATTCCCCTAGTAAAAAAGTGATGCCACTATAAGCTGTGCAGGATGGAGTCTGAGGGCACTTCCGACTGTTGATTCTCTTCTCTATGGCCATTGTCCCGCTCATTTTGCTTTTTAAAAAAATAAACACCAGTCTGCATACAAAAAAAAAGAATAGATCTACAGATGCTATAGCCATCATTCTTCACACTGCTCTGACTCATCTAGAACAGCATGTTGGGGGTGGGTGGGTAATGTGAGGATGCTTTCTGTAGATTTTAGTTCTGCATTTAACACAATTCTTCCACATAGACTAGTGCCTAAACTTCTGGACCTTGGACTTTCTTAGTCAATCTGCCTTTGGATTATGGATTTCCTGTCTGGCCGCTCGTAGTGGGTCAGATTAGGTAATCATACCTCTTCAGTCCTTATTCTTAACACTGGTACACCACAGGGTTGTGTGTTGAGTCCCTTACTCTACTCTTTATGTGCATGACTGCATTCCCACTCACACTAGTAATACTATTACTAAATTTGCAGATGATACAACAGTGGTGGGACTCATCTCTCAGGGGGATGAGTCTGCTTACCGAGATGAGGTGGACCTGTTGCTTTCATGGTGGGAGACAATAACTTGGTCCTCAACACCAATAAGACCAAGGAGCTTATAGTGGACTATAGAAGGAACAGATCAGACATCTAGCCCTTGCTTATCAATGGAGACCGAGTAGACTAATTAGCCACTTTTGCACCACTGGGTGTTATCATAAAAGAGGACCTGACCTGGGGTGCTCACATTGCAGCACTGTCAAAAGGGTCCAGAAGAGATTATACTATCTGAGACTTCTCAGAAAACAACTGAATGAAAAATTGCTGACCTTCTACTGCTGCACCATAGAGTATTTTAACTTACTGCACCTGTGTATGGTTTGCCAATTGCACAGTGGCAGATAGGACAGCACTCCCGAGGGTTAACATCATTGTCCAGATCATCATTGGTTGCCCTCTACCCTCTTCAGAAGAGCTTTATAGCTCCTATTGCCATAAGAAAGTTCAAAACATCCTCAAAGATCCCTCTCTTCCTAGAAACCCTTTTTTTTTTGAACTATTACCACCTTGCAGACGGTAGAGGATAATAAAAACAAGGACAAATAGGCTGAAAAACAGCTTCTATCCCAGGGCAGTAACTATTGAGTTCTACAGAGTAGTGCAATATTAATGCAATATCAGGGGGTTTCAATTCAATGTATAGAATGTGAAGATGTGTGTTTGTACGTTAGTCATAATGTACACTGAAGATGGTATTTAATTTTGTTGTATGAGGTGCAGTGACAACAAAGTAAATTAAACTAGCTGACATCCATTTTCTTTCTCTCACCCAGGACTATGTTGCTTATAAAGCAGAAAATCAGGAGCAAGGTTGGTTCTGGACTGAAATATCCCTACTCCAATGTTGGCTTCATTGACAAGATCGTATGCGCAAACTTTTATCATCCCCTTGACAATGGGGAGAGGCAATGTTCACATTAGGAGGCTCAGCAGGGTAGACAGCTGCACTTTTTATGAGGGCTGTCTGTCTTTCATTACAATTTAACCTTTCTCTGAACAAAGGGGGAAAGAACCTATGGCAGCAGGTGCAGCTGGAAGCATTCTTTCTAAGTCTTTATAGGCCACTGGCCAATCTGCCAACAGGCAGGGCATTAAGAATAGATGATGATCTCATAATTCAAGGAATAGATATAAACTAAGAGTGCTAGAAGAACTACATTGCTCCATTCATCCTAGAGGTTGGTAAATTGCAAGGTAGAACTGAAGGACTTCTTGCTAAAAGTTGTATGATGGAAACAGTACTCAGCGAAGGGAACATTTTAGAGCACAGACACCCCTTTGGTAACAGTTCAGTATTGTATCAGCAGAAAGTGTACATATTGATTGTCCTCTTTCATTTAGTTATTTGAACTATTTTCACTCAGCTTTAGTGGTTTTCCCATATCAAGTCTATACATTCTTATGGAAGGCTTAAACTTGGGGGCAACTCTTTTGCCCCATTAGCAAGGGATTGCTGCGCTCTTTCCTTATAACTGGAATATCCAACAAGGTGCTTGGCAACAGACAGTCTCTGTCCCATCTGATTTACCCCAACCTATAATTTCAAAATGGAGGTCAACCAAACATCAGTTTCCAACTTCAGCTTTATTTTTAGAGAAACCTTTTAAAGAAGCCTGTGAATTCCACATGTCTAGAGGCATTTTATAATACAATAAATTCTGGAAGGGGTTAGGCAGTTAGGATTAAAACAAGCACTTTGATACAGCTAATTTGCTCCACGTTTTGTTGAATTACAATAAAATGCTTGTTTCAAGCCCATTAGAACTATGCACACTGCCTGCCATCTTTGAAGCACTGGCACAAATGCCCTTTTCCACCAGCATTAAGGTTTCAGTATGGAGAAATGAGTTTTTGACTGAAGGAGCTTCTTCAAATAGGATTGTTGCAGTAATCAATCCTGAAGTGTCTCCTTGACGTGGAGCTGAGCAGTTTTCCATGGCCACAGCAGTTAGGCAAGAGGCAAAGCATTATAAGTATACGATTGTCTGAAATAAACATTCTGTGGCCAGCCACTTCCAATTGTATGAGCTCTGAAGAAAACATGTTTTAAAATCTGTTTGTTTTCCAAATTATTTTAGAGATAACTTTTTGTTTTAAAAAAACATTCCCTTGGTCAATGTAGCATCTTCTGAAAATTTTAAATTTTGTTCCTAATTCGAAGTATTTTGAGGTTTTAAAAGAGTGTATAAAGTTTCCTTTCCTGCCTGAAAATAGGAGAGATATACTTTACATATTTGGAAAAAATATTTCCGAATGTTTAACATTGTGTAGAGCAGAAGCCCAAACCTCAGGGGCAACAAAATGAAGGCCTTCAGATCCAAAAGAGAGCTATCTGTAGTAAATAGCTGCAATGTCACTGAGACTGAGTGTGTCTATGCATATTCAGACTGCAAAATCCCCTAGAGTTCTTTGAACAGCTGCAGACACGGAGCTAAATAGCTTCCATAGGAATTACTATTATAAGCCAACAATCAAAACCAGTGACTTCTAAATTTTCAGATATTTATACTCTTCTTTTTGTTGTTTTATATCTTCAACTAGATTGCAAACCAAGATAATTAAATATTATAACAAATACATTGATAGTTTTTCAGCAACAGAGTTTGGCAATGGGTAGAGCTGTGGGAAGTCCAGTTTCCATTACTCCCAGTAAGTTTGGCAAATAGTGATGGAAACTGGAGTCAAACATTCATTTGGAGGGACAAATATTGTCTTCCTCATACTATGCAAAATTGGGTACAACGTAATTCGGTTTTGGGGGAATGGATCCCGTGCCTAAAATATTAATGATACAATAATATATATTTTATATATATCTCTCTATATTTTATATATCTATATCTACACACACACACACACACGTTTTCTTAAGTTTTCGTGGGTACTTACATGTATGGCATTCAGCTTTGTTCGGGTATTTTCCCACGTCATTATAGTTGTGCTTTTAAAGTAACGTTTCAGCAGAATCTCATCTGCCATCATCAGGCTTCTGTATTGTGTTCTGTATTGATGATGGCAGATGAGATTCTGCCGAAACGTTACTTTAAAAGTACAGCTATAATGACGTGGGAAAATACCCGAACAAAGCTGAATACCACACATGTAAGTACCCATGAAAACTTAAGAAAACATATATATACATATACATATACATATACATGCTTGAAACCAAGCTAATTTTTGTTGGCATGCAATGAATGCTCCCCATAAGATGACGACAATCTCCATTTTTTGAAAAGTGTACAATTGTGCATTCCTTCCTCATCAGACTGATAAATAAGCTTGTTGGAATTCATCAGGCCAATTAATCATCGGCAAGAGTGGACAGCAGAGGTGCTCAATTTGCCCCCCCCGCTTTCCCCACTTTGGATAATGCTTCCAGAGCCTTTCCAAAAGTCCCTGTGAATTGTAATTTTGAATGTGGAAACAAAGAATACAAATATTTGCTATATTTAATTAGGTTTAATAACAACTATGCAAAACATTTTTTGCTTTGATCCATCCTAAGCTTGTATGCATATGAAGCACCCCACCCTGAGCCAGCTGCTGTTGATGCTGACAAGAGATCTTTTTGTGTATGGGCTACAGTTTGTACTCAAAATTGAAACAATAAAGAAAACTGCTTAAGGGATTTTTGATTTTAAATTGAATGAAATTGAAATGAATTGAAATACAGCTTGGTGTCCTTGCCTTGCTTTTTGAAATATGGGTCACTGGCGTGCCATTTAAAGGCCAGGAATGGCCCTCAGCTCCAAAAGGGATGCACCCCTCCTCGCTGTATCAGATTGCAATATCTAAGTACTCCTTTCTATTTTCCATTTCAAACATTATGGCTATATAAGTTAACTGACTTTTTCCTTCATTAACTTCTGGTCATTTCCAATTCCTTTTAATTGTCTGAGCTCATCAGACTGCCAACATGGAAAATACAATCTTACGCTTTAGAAACAGAAAAACCGGAAGAAAAAAACATTGCACATTCAAGCTGCTACATCCAATCCTGGATATAGCATTACTAAGAACTTTTATGGCATACAGTCATAGGTACCTTTCAGAGCACCTACACTTTTCAATGATTTTCTTAAAATCAAGAGAATATTCAAATATAATTTGGAACTCTGTGCTCAAAGAATAGAGAAGCATATGAATAAGCAAGTTTTATTTTAATGTGTGTGTATAATATATATTTTACAGACCCTGCTGTATAGCACTTATTTTCAACCAACAATGTGCTAGGCACTTCACAATTTGAGCACCTTTTTAAAAAAAAGCACATAAAAGATTCAACTTTCTGGTAAAAACTCAATACATTTCCTCATGGGTATGGCATACAATGAAATACAATTATGGTATATGATAAGGCAAATTTTCTGTATCTCCAGAAATATTAGCAGTCCCTTCCATTGAGGTTCACTTCCCTTTTTTTCTATGATGGAGGTAGAATGGAACCCACCTGTGGTTCTTTTTTTCCTTAAGACATGATTGATTTGATTATCTTCTTTTCCAACAACAGAAATTTTTCTTCTCCTCGATATATAGAGGCCAGATGAAGCATACCTACCAGCTGCCATCCTGTATTTAATCGTATTTCCAAACCTCAACCCAATGCAAGTAGAAAGGATAGTTAAGATCTCAACAACATCCTTCAAAAACTGAATTTATTCCAAAGCCTGTCTTTCTGTAGTTGGGTTTGATTGTACCTATCTGCAGCTCTTCCAGAGGTATTTTGTGAGTAAAAAGCTCTTGCTTTCTCTGGCAATTCAAATTTCTAAATAAAATAATGGGAAAAAGGTGATTCTTGCTGCTTAGCAGAAAGGCTAGTACCTATTAAACAGTTTCCCAGCTAGCATGGGAATATTGGGAGTTGAAGTCCACAAATTTTAAAACCTAGCAAGTTGCAGGGGTGTCAAACTCGTGGCCCATGGGCTGGATGCATCACGCGCTGGCAATGTCCACCCCCATTTTAGCAAAGAGGGGGAAGGCATGATACGTAATGTGATGACAATGTGACACCGCAAGTTTGACATCCCTGCACTATTGTGTTTTTTTAATTCCCTTCAGGCTCCTGAGGAAAGTGGGAAATACTTTTAAATTAAAGACAAAGAAAAGTCATTCGTTATTATATTCCCTTCAAGATTTAACTTAAAAAACAAAACAAAACTATAGCTAAAGGGAAAGAAAACACAATGTATTTCTCCATTGACTGGACAGTTCTTATTTAGTAAACCATTGGTTTTAACCTTCATGAATGTAAATTCAAATATTATCAGGAATGTATATAATGCTTTAGTGAGGCACATGTTCCATGGTTTACATGGAGAATTTAAATCAAATGATGCTATCTAGTCCTCAAAAAACACTTAATGCCAAGTCCATATTTGCCTTTACTGAGGCTTAAATATGTCTTAAATCAACAGGATGACAAAGATCAGGCTCTGTGTTACATGTTTATGTGTTAAAATGCTATACTCAGGTTCAGGGGTGGGTTTCTACTGGTTCTGTCCATCTCTGTAGAACCGGTAACTCTGAAGAGCAGCAGACAAAGAACCGGTTCTATGTCTGCTGATGTTTTTGCCCACCTGCCCACCCAGGCTCTTACCTGACCATTATTTCCTGATTTTTTTCAATTTCAGCTGCCGTGCAAGGCACAGCTGCAGTTAAAAAAGCAGGAAAAAAGGGCTTTTTAAAAGGCAAAGGCTGCTTCTCTGCACGCAGCATGCTGATGACGATGTACAGGCACGTGGGGCAGCATGCAGGGAAGTACATCGTAAATGACCGAACCTCGTAAATGACCGAACTGGTAGTTAACCCTGTCGGATCCCACCCCTGCTCAGGTTACTCACATTTTAAACCCAAAATGAAAAATTTATTAACAGACATTGTTGTTCCCTTCCCCCACCCCCCCAAAAAACAGTACTGCAGTAACTAGCAAAAATGACTTCGATTTTTAAACTAGGCTGGGAGTCCTGTCACACCTTCACATCTTAATGGGAAAACTCGGTATGATTAGCAATGGCAGGCAATTGTCTCTTAAAGAGAACTTTCTACCACCTCCATGGTTTTTCCTAGTGGATCAGGCAGAGCGGGATGTGGTGTAAGTCAGCCTTTCAGTTCAGATTGGGTAGCAGAGCCAACAAGCCTGGCTAGAACATCTTGTGTGCCTTACAACCTGCAGCAGGATTTTCAGCAGGGTCCTGAGACTCCATGACAGTTATACCTATAATGAGATGTTTAAAAGGCCACATGCTGTCTTTTCTTGGGGGACACCTGACAAAGCGATGTCCCAAGCATCCACAGCTAGTAAAGGCAGAAGAAAGCACCATGCTATACAATAAGAGGCAATTGGACTTCTTCTGGCATATTTACCCATGAGCACAGTAGAAATGAGACCCATATTTTATCCAACTTGCAGGGGAGGACAAAAGGTGGACACACAAACATTTTATGCAGCAAGGCAAATGGTGTTCTTTTAAGCATACCTGCAGCTAGGCATTTATTTTATGCAATTATTTGCCTGGAGTCAATTGAGTTCCTTACGCTTCTGGAAAATGTCTTTGGAAGTCATGCCCAACTTTGTTTTGTAAATCTCATTGGGTGTCCTCTTTTTGTTATTTATGCATTTGTGGGGTCACTTTCTCATTGATATAAAGCATTAGCCCAGAAAGTTTTGTCACCTGAGGCAGAAGAGCAAAATATCCTGTTGCTTTTCTTGCTTGCAAAGTTAAGGATTATCATTCCAAAACTAGCCAAATTATTTTGACATCCAAGACAAAAAAAAAAAATCCACAACTTCCAGTCTCCACTGTTGTAAAAACAAAAAGTCAGTTCCAGGGACTCTAGGAGGCACCTAAGGTAGCCTCAATCCTGCCTATAGATACAGTTAGCCTAAAGCAACGATGTGGGAACGATGATGGCCTTCACATAAACCTGTCGAAGACAGTAGAATAATGGCATCAGAGAGGGGAAAACTTTGCTGCTTGGTGAAAATGAATCAACAGGAGGACCAGAAACCTAGATCTTGACAAACTCTAGAGCCAATAACAGAGGAAAAAGAATAGCCTACTACAGTGTCTGTAAGCATATATAAGGTGTTAAGGTTAACTGCACCTAGCTAAAAGATTCTCCTCTCCTGATTATGGTAGGGGCCTTGGTTTCCTTTGGATCCAAACCTGAGAGTTCTGAGGTAGATTCACCTACTAAGTGAAGAGGAACCCATTAGGCAAACTTGAGATAGGACCTCGGGAAGAAGTTACTGAGGAACAATACCCAATTCATTTGCAGCACTGAGGAAAAAATTAACTGCAATAGATGCTTCAAGTATTTTGCAGATCCCCATGTTAATCCTAATATTAAAAAAGATGATTTTTTTCCCAATGCCCTTCCAAATTTCTGCTCTGGACTGCTATGTATTAATAGCTGCTTTAGTACTGGTTTTTGGATTACAGATAAAACTGCTCACTGCACTGGTGAAAAATGGAGCAATGACACGAACTGTATTCTATTTGCTCTGGTTGTAATTATGACCATCGTACAACTCTTACAAGAAACGTCTGCCTGAACCCCTAACTATAAGTCATCTTATCTTAAGTTACTTTAACTGTTCAAACATGAAGGTCTTTAGAAGGGGTTCTTTTAGAAAGGATTTCTGGAAATAAGATTTCTAAACATTATGTTCCAGAATTGAAAGCATTGCCAACAAGCTCCAGCAAAAAAATAGGGGACATCCTTTGAAGTAAGCAGGTATAAGATAAACATGGCAGAGTGCCAGTGAGAAATTCATTCAGTTAGTATAGGAACTTATCAGGCTCATCATTATGAATCTATATATTGCAATCTGCACAAATTGCAATTCAAAAATAATAATATACAATGTATATATTAAGGAGATGTGCACACAAAAATGTCTATTATTAGGATAAGATATGAATACGGTTTTTAAGAAAAGCTCAAGAAGAAAAGTGCATTAAAATGAGTATATTAGATTATTCTTCTGCCAGAAGAGGTTCAAACATTGGCCAAATCCCCAAACACTGATTCATGTAAAAGGAAATAGATATATTTATCTATATTTTATCACAACAATTCTTTTAAGACTATGATCAGGTTCAGATTGATGCTATCTTTAAACTGAAAAATGCTAATGTTTTTCAATATTAAAAATAAATTGACATATGCATTCAGGAAATCTCTGGAGTATCTGTTTTTTAAAAAAATCAGAAATATAAAAATATCCATACTATATTCAAATCATCTGCTTAAGAATTTTTGGTAACTGAATGGCAGAAAAAAACTACTCAAGTTTCATTACTGAATTATGGCTTTATAAAGTATGCAAAGAGAACACAGTTGTATCCAAAATGTCAGTTTTTCCTGATGTAGTAGTAGTTTTATCTTAGACATCAAAATAAGACTTGGCATTAGGAAAAAACTATACAAAGTAAACATTTGGGAGAGTATTGGAAGAAAAATAACAAAATTAGTTTTGGATTTCTTTTTAAAAAAAATAATAACCTCAAGATTAAAAAATAATTATGTTGAACAGAAAATTTCAGCTTTGTACATTTGCCTGCTCCTTCTCCTCTGTGTTCCCATTGAGAAGTTTCATGAAACAGGCAAGGAAGAATTTAGCTAAGCATGATCCGAACAATGTTATGCACTTGTATATTCCACCAATTTCAGATGGAAGATTAAGTACATTCCACTGAAATCAATACAAGATTACAGCCTGATTATATGCATATTTACTCAGAAGTGAGTAAACTTCCTAGGAAAGGGCCTTAAAATTTGCTCAACTTGGCTGGATTTTGCCCATTTTTCATTAGGGAAAGCAGATTCCAACTCCCACGACCGCAGGAAATCACATTTTGTCCATCCTTTGGGTAAAAACAGATTTAACGATTGTCAAAAAATGGAACCTGAAGAAATGTTCTCCATTTCTTTGCTGCCCACTCCCAAACACATATCAACCTTTGAGGTGAACCACAATCATACCTAATCCAAAGGGAAACAGAGCACCATCCTTTGAAAAGAAGCAAGCTTCATTTCTTAATCTTTACAAGCAGCTGACTCTCTTCACCTCAGAAGAGTCACTACAAAGCAAGAGGAGCTACTCTGCCCATATTACAACCAACTTAGGGCAGCAATTATCAAGTGCATGAAAAAGTGCCTATAAAAAATAATGCAGCTATCACATTATTCCCCTTCTCTGGAATATCTAGATATATATTCATATCTAGCATGTATAACCTTGCATGTGATTCACAGATAAATTCAGAAAGCTCTGCAATTAGTCAATTTTTTCAGCCCTGGTCCAGCTCGTAGGAGCAAAACTGCTCAAAATTGGTCTGTACAGATCATGGAACATTCCCCTTGTGGTTTTACTCTTTCTATGGTGATGAGGTTCAGCTGATTGAGAATTCAATTAGTCCTGAGAATGAACTCAAAGAGGTGGTGTTCTTCTTAAAAAGACCTTGCAGAGGGAAGTGCACCTATTTTTCTTGTCTGCAATACCATGAGTACCTGCCTGGAGTATCCCATGAAGATCTGCTGGTCAATGGCCGCTTGATGGAACAAATTCTGCCTCAGGGTTGGTGCCACTCTTCTTTTAACTAAAGTTTTTGCTTTGGAATCACCACGCAGAGGATTAATAAATGGATGTCCTGGTGGAACAGAAGCTGGTAACATGCATTATTTCCCATTTTGTTGTTTCTTGGATCTTTCTTTTTTATGCAATAAACCAGCAGCATTTTCTTTTCCTGTCAGTCATTGAAGAAACGCCGTAGAACGAATTGGCCCAGCACAATCACGGAGGCTATCATCAACATGTATTTCCAATAAATATTGCTCAAGTCCAGTGCTGCCACCTAGAGACAGAACAGTACCATTATAGATCCAATTCTGTATTAGCCTTCTCCAAACCTGGTGTTACCCAGAAGTGTTGGTTTTAAACACCTAGCACTGTCATCAGCCAGCTCACTGGGAATGGAGGGAATTACAGTCGCCAAAAGAGAAAGTATTAAGTTGGGGAAAGGCGGCTTTAAGATCTTCTCTCAGCATATTCTTTCAAAAGAGTAATTCCGGAAAGGGTCATTAGTATCTGAAGAACTAAAATGTATATACACTTGGGTTTTAGAAGGAAGACAACCCTCCCCTGTGCCTTTCTTCACAATTATTCATCAAGGTCCATGTATTATTTACCGTTTGCTTAGCTGCTTTGCATCATGGTTCAGAGGCAGAATATATGCTTTAGAAAGAGAAAATATTAGCCTCAGTATCCCCAGATAGTTTTAGGAATGCCCTTCCTGGAAACCACTTGGAGCATTTATGAACTGAGTAGCATGTAAATTACAGCAAAGTAATCAACCCATCTCCATCAAACAATGAAAAGCTAGAAAGGTCAGTTATTTGACCTAGTTGAAAAGATAGCTTCATAGGTTCCAAAGGTCTCTGGTTCAAATTCCTGTCAAGAGCAGCTATGGATTTTCTTTGGCCTCTTCAGTTGAAGGAACCAAGTAGGATGTTAGGCTTCCATAGTGCCCCTAGAAGCACTAGATTGAGCCCATCAGAATAGATTCCAGTTGTCTAAATGGAGAAGTAGACTTTATACAAACTAGAGGCTTACTAGAGGCAATTGCAGAACAAATTGGACCTCTTATGGTGGAAGTTTTAATGATGTCTTATTGGCAGCCAGGATGCTGGACTCATGGAGGGGGGCATTTATTTCGCTGATCCCGAAGGAGGATTCGGATCCCCGATATATAAACAATTATAGGCCGATTTCACTTTTAAACACTGACTATAAAATATTTACTTCTATTATAGCAAGTAGACTAAAAAGAATGTTAAACGTGCATATAAATGAAGATCAAAATGGATTTCTCCCGACCAGACAAATTAGGAACAACTTAAGAATAGTACTAGATGTCTTAGAATTTTATGAAGCCCACCCCGAAAAACAAATTGCACTTATGTTTTTAGACGCGGAGAAGGCCTTCGACAATTTAAATTGGCAATTTTTAATCCAAAAAATTTATAATATGAATGTAGGCACCAAATTTTAAAACATTATAACAACTATTTATGATACACAACAGGCTAATATTATAATAAATGGGGAATATACCCGCCCAATAAAAATAGAAAAAGGAGTCAGACAGGGCTGCCCACTCTCACCCCTGCTCTTCATATTATCATTAGAAACATTATTAATGCGAATTAGACAGAACCCAGATATAAAAGGATTAAAGGTTAAGAAAGAAGAATATAAGTTGCAAGCGTTTGCGGACGATATGATTTTTTTCATTGAGGAACCAATAGAAAGAGGACAAAAATTGATGAATGAATTAGAACAATTTGGAGCAGTAGCAGGCCTCAAAATTAATAGGAAGAAAACTAAATTAATGACTAAAAATTTAACAGAAAAACAGAAAATAGAATTAGAAGAAGTTATGGGAATACAAGTGATAAAGAAAGCTAAATACTTAGGAATATGGTTGACAGCACATTGTAAGACATTTAAGGAAAATAATTATGATAAATTGATGCAACAGGTAAAGAAGGATTTAGAAACATGGGGTAAGCTGCAACTTTCATTATTAGGCAGGATCGCTGCCATTAAAATGAATATTCTTCCAAAATTTCTATATCTATTTCAGACGATCCCAATTAAAGTGCACAAATTTTTTTTTTGAAGAACTTAATAAAATAACTGTTAAATTTATTTGGCAAGGGAAAAAACCTAGAATAAATTTAAAGGCAATGCAGGATATGAAGAGCAGGGGAGGGCTGGCACTTCCAAATTGGGAGTTGTATTACGTAATTAATATATTTCAAAGGATACTCAGGTAAGATGGTTCTTCGGTTCACTTACCCATCCTCCTTGCTGAGCAATCCATCGTGCAATGCGATTGTGTAGCACGAATTCAGCCATGTAACGTGCAATTCTTCTCAGGAAGCCAGTTATGCCATGCTGGTATACATGGATTGCCATCCTGTAGCCGAAGCCCAGCAGTGCTATCACACGCCCCCAATTGATGCCGCTTTCAAACAAACTGGGGAAGAGAAGGGTCCGTTGCAAATTAGAGATTTTCGGTTCTTTGCTACTTCAGGAAATGCATTACACTGAGGTCTTGATCCCAGCAACTTAATGTCTTGTTCATCCTAATGGTTCTAACGGGAAGAAGAACTGCAGCTTGACCCTGGGAAAACACTTCTGCAATTTAAGGAACTGCTGACAGGTGTTATACGTGTAGCTGTGCACTTTCTAAAGCAAAGTTTCTTAAACTTAGCACCTTTATGACTGTGTAAAGTGCCTTTTTCCTCTGAATCTGATGGCTTCCCAGATCAATGATAACCATTATCATGATGATTACATTTTGATTCCAGCTTTTTTACATATAAAACTCAAGGCAATGCACATTAATATTCCTGCCTCGTTTCCTATTACTTGCATAGTAGGAAAAAAGAATGAGATGCCACATGTTTCAATCTCTAGGCTTTTTGAAATGGTTTTGAAAACTGGAAGTTAAATACAAAGATTGGTTCTATTTCAGACCCACAATCCCCTCGTTTTCCAATCCTGAAACACTAGAAAATTCCAACACCAAAATTTGGCAACAAATCACTGAATATAAGCAGCACAAGTTCATACCAATTTCTAAGGGGGGAAACTAAATGACAAGTTGATTTTTTGGAAAATCTCAACACCCTAAACAAGGAAAGTGGGGGGGACCCTAAAATGATGGAAAAATGTGAAATATGTGTCAAAGTGCAGCTCCCCCCCCCCCTTTTTTTTTTGATGTTTTGCCTGTCCACAGGAAAAACAAAGGCCAGTAGCCTTTTGAAAAAAACACCTTTTGGACAACCATGACGTGGATGACTTATGACCTGGATAAATACTTAAATCTGTAGGATCAGCTTTGATCTGGCTATCCCACCCTGGAGGGAAAGAAGCTGGCCTTTCTTTCTGCTACAATGTCCATACAGGCTTATTCTGCCACCATGATATTGGGCAGCATCCTTTAAAAACAATCTGTGCTAGCATGTGGCTATAGATATTTCATTTTTAACTTTGGTGCATGGTTGGTTGGAAATCCTTAGCTATCTGATGGGGTGATTCTGATATCCAATTTTAAAAATCAGCTTTATTACATTAGATGTGGCTGAAAACTTAGCAGGCATAGCATGGAGAGTGTTCCCATACATAGCAACTGAAAAAGAGGAAAGAGAAAGCACAGTAAGTGCTGTTTTACCTCAAGGCAGCAAAATGGTGAAACTTGGCTTCCCAAGGAGGGGACAGCAAGAAAAGAGGACAGGAAAGAGAGTTAGGTAATCTTTAGATGGAACAGGAAAACAATGTTTGTGAATGTAAAGATGCATGTATATACATTGTCACTGTTTTCTCTCAGTTGGTGATTTTACCCTTTGCCATTTCCTTTAAAAAAAAATAAAAATCAGATGGAAAGGAAAAGAAAGAAACAGAGGGGAAAACTGCGACTAAATCTTTCCCAAGCGGAACACCATAAACCTCCTTACAGCCTCTTGTTTGGGTATCACTGCCATTATAATCTCCAGGTTCATAACGGTTTTCATTGGCTTCATGCTACATCTGATGGCCTGAAGAGGAATTCTTCTGAATCAGATCAAAGTCCATTTTTAGTCCAGCATACTCTTTCCCATGTTATCTTGTTCCTAAGATAACACCTCTGGCAAGCTTATAGGCAGGTCAGTAGTCTACTCTTGCTGCTGTATCCTAGCAACCAGCCCTAAATTAAGATGGTGGCCACTACTCTGTGTGATTGAAGATCCCACCCTCTTTTTCCAATCTGGCTTGGACCCCATCCTGCATGGAGCTTCAGATGAGAGATATACACCCTGGGTCTGATTCTGGGGATGATCTGGCTTCATGTAGCTTCAGTGAGGCTGGGAGGCAGCTTCTGAAGTCAGAGCACCTTGTCCAAAGCTGATCCTTTCTCTCCATCTTCACAGGGGAAGGTCTGACATATCTTTTCTTCTGTGGGAACCTTTTCCAGAGGCCACAGAATTATAGGAATGCAAATATGTACCTTTTTATAAGATGCCTTACATTCAGAAGATTTAAAAAAAAAAATTGAACTGAAGAACCAATTGCCTTTATGCTTCACACAGAAGTAAATCCAAGATCCTGTTACCAAGAGATGCTGTGTGTGTCAAGATAGGTGGAAAGCAATCCCCCCACCCCCAAATAAATAAATATCAGCTTAGATTTGTGATTTTGCTCTGCTCCATATTTGTTATTTGTTTGGTTTACATGCCACCAGGAATCCTTGTCATGTACAAGCAGTATAGAGGTTAACATCAACCACAACCTTAAAAAAGGCATAAGCATCAAACTCACTTACCTGGAGGCTATTCTGGTGAAGTACTCATATGCATTGTCCTTGGAAGGCTGCAAGGACTTCAGCATCTCAGAGAACTCCTTATCATACCGTGCATTGATGTCATCACCAATGATAGCTAAGCGTCGACCCACCGAATTGTTGATGCTGCACAATGAACAAATAAACTGGTTAAATTGGAACATGGAGGCAGATTAAGTAAACATTTAAGAGCCTGCGGTACTTACCTATTTGGCTCCTGCTGAATTGCAGCAATTTCTGGATCAACTGGCGCATCCCCCTCAGTTTGCTCCTGCTCCTGCTGGTATCGATGGAAAGCATAGCTCCGGAACACCTCCTCAGTCTGTTCAGCTACCAAGTCCTCTGCAGAAGAGATAACAGGGTCCTTCAGCTATTAGCAGCTTCATTTTGAGCAGAGGTAGGTCACAATTATATAAACCCAAGGCCTTCTCCTCTCAGATCAGGCTACTGAATGTCAAGAGCAAAAACACCAACTTTCAGCAGGACATGTTTTGCCTTCTCCAAAACACTGAGAATGTGTCTCTTAAGCCTTTAAAAGAATTATTGTATCTATTTTTCTTCCAACCTCTCCATATCAACTTTTTCCCAAGTAGTCCAGGCCACAGAGATATGGTTTTCCCTTTTTTATTTGCTTATATTATTATCAAAAAACTCTGTGAAGCAGGATAGACATTTCTTCTGCTTGTAAGTCCATTAGATTTAATAATATATTTTCTCAGCTAAAAGTTGCTCCAACCTGCCTATGGACAGAACATCACCTATGAGTAATGTGCCAAGATCATCACTGAACTTGACAGTCAAGTCAGAACTTGAATCTCATTTTCCTGGTCCAAGTATTTTCCAATTAATTTTTTCCAAACATGTTCAGCAACACTGTCTATTATATCTTAGATGCTGATGGAAAAAGGCAGCTTCTGCTTAAGGATATTAGCAGAGTTTGACTCACAATTAATCTTTAAGAAATTTAAATTCTGACTAAACTGTTGTAAGGTAATATCCAAAGCAACAAAGATTCTTTCTAGCTGCAGGATCATTATCATAGGCTAAAGTGGGAGCCAGCACAATGCTAGTAAAATGCTGGATTGTGGAAATTCAAGGTAAAACTAAATCTAGCCCTAAAGCTCATTGATGATTTTGGGACAATTGAGCCTAAACTGTCTTCCAAGATTATTATGGAAGTATTGGGGAATGGCTATGTGTCCTGAAAATTCTAAGGAGAGAGCAAAAAACCAGAATGCAGTAAAGCAAATGTATTGAAACTAATGATTATCATATATATGCATACTTCCTTGGAGTAAGCTTCAGTCAAGTTCAATTCCTTGTGATTTTAGGTACATATCCATGTTATTTTTCTTAAGCACAGTAAGAGGACAGGGATGGTTTGCTACTGCCTCCTTCCATGATTTTCCCTCCAATTTAACTTATAGCCTTTGGACAGGAGCATCTGCAGAATTTGATGAAATTGTCAAAATGACAAAACAAATGTAGTGATGGTACCACATAATAAAAGTTGCTTCTTCCATGAACAATACCACAATGATTAAAGGATGGATCTTGTATCACAATTGCAGTGTCTTTTGTGATCTGTCCTCCTGTCCCATTTGCTCTGGGATTTCCTTGTGATCTTCCATCCAAGAGCTAAGTAAGTAGGTGATTCTGCTTATTTCTTGAGCCCAAACATGGTCAGCTAATCACAAGTCTTGTGGCAAGACAGTGGAGTGCTTAGAATTATCTTGAAAATGCCCTCTTCTACAGGACGTTACAAATCATTATGAGATGCCATGTACTTTTATATGTTTTATATCTAACAAAATTTAAAATCACCGAAGTTTTGTGTAGGTCCTGTATGCTCCTGCCATGCTATGTACTTCATACTTCACCATATACTTACTATCATTCCAAAAGTCATTTAAAGTCAGAAGCAAGTTGATGCCATAATTCTGTACATATTGGTAATTCTGTACATATTAGTATTGCTGAACTGTGGCCAGGGTGGATTATCGTCTACAATGTTTGGGCTGCACATTTGATATTCAGCTTCTAGGTTGGTTTAGGATTAGTATCTTTTTACTAAACGCAGTTAAGACATCTCGTCAAATGTTTGTGTCATGTATGGCCACTGCAGGTTAAAATGAAACATTAATTTTCAAAGGGCTGCAAAGGGTAATAGCTATAACCTACAACATTGAATGAGGTTTTGTGGTTAGTGCAGAGCCATGTTCTTTAGTTTCCGGTTAGGCATGAGGTTTTTTTTAACCAACCAATCTGCAATCTTATGAAATATTCTGTGCCCCCTTATCAAACCTTCTCCAATTAGATTCTTTTCTCCTTTCCCCTGCAACATGACAGCACTATTACCAACAGCCATTAGGGGAAAAAATCCCCAATTCTCTTTTCGTCTTTACAAAAACATTACTTCCTTTTGCTATATGAGATTTTTGATATTTTTAAATAAATCACCTTGGTGGGATTTGTATTATGAAAGGCAAAATAAAGCTAGTATTGTGAATAAAAAAATTATACTCAAGAAAGCCGTCATGCGGTTAACATTTTTTGTACTATGTCGTTGAACCCCTTGCTGGCTTTCCACGCTATTGACCTTTCCAAGCTATTTACAGCCCTCCTCCAACTAATCATATATTTATACAGTATCTATATTATAGCATGAAGATTGGACTTATTTGGGAACGTTTTTCATCTTTCATTTAAAGAAGCCACTTAATTATTTTCAAGAGCCTAACTTTCATTGGAAGGCTAATTAAAATGAGGTACAATGGAGGCCCCTGATATGGCTGAAAAATCAGAAGAAATCAGTGTCTTGCACCCAATCAGCACAGGTTTGGGAAAGGAGAACAGCCTCACAAAGTAAAAGCAAGTAACTGACTCATATTCTCACTGAAGCATTGCAAAATCACCCACAAGTTACAAGCAAACAATTAAAAGAAATCTTTCCCCCCTGCAACCTAGCTTACTAAGAATACAGTCTCTATTTCTACCATGTCTTAGCACAGTACTGTAAATGAATCCTGAAAAATAAGCAAATAGGAAAATAAGCAAAAGAACATTATACCAGCTTCCTGCTTAAAAAAAAACTTGCAGGAGATTTAAAATGTAAAGTGAACTGTCTCTTAAAAAAAACTGCAAAATTGCATTTGGGTCAGGTATTATTAGACACGTTAACAGAACTTTGATTACCAAAAAATCAGGCAGCCTATTATTGTCCACACCGTTTTGCGTTGCCTTAAGACCCTTCACCTCCCACAACCCAAAGAGAAACCTGACAGCACAGATTTTGTTATTTTACTTAACTTGCCTGAAAAGCTAAACATTTCATCCTCCTCCTCCTCCTTAGGTGACATCATTCTACCAGCATCATGCCACCAGCAGCCCTAAAGGCAGTGAGTAAAAAACCCACAAAAATGCATCTCCCTCCTCATCTTTAAAGGATTTTAATCCAGAACAGAGAAAGATGTAACTTTCAGAAAAAGAGAAAAACACAGCTCCATGCCATTTTGAACCACACTATGTTTATGGCATTATATAATGGTCTTTTTAAACATGCTTTTAAATAGGCTTTCAAGTTTGAATATTAATAGCCTATTCTTCTTGTCTCATACGGCCATTTGAAATTGTTCTACTGTAATTCACTAACAAATTTCAAATAAAACTGGTCGTTTCCTCCTTGATAGTCTTTCTTGCATTAATCTCCTTAAACTACAAAATGTTGTCTCATAAGGAAACAGTGATGAATAATAAGAGGAGTGATAAATAAGTATCTCATGTGCAGGAAGTCAATGTTAGCTCATACAGCAGGATTTAAAGGAGGATATGGTTATTGTAGCACAAACAGTAAAGAAATGTGATTGCTGGAATATAATGAAATGATTCCTAATTTGTACCAGAATTACTTCTCTAGTTTTGTAAAATATCGCACATTGCTAACAAACTTTTGTATATTTACATTTTATAATTAGTCATTTGTTTTTCCACCTGTAAAACTTTAAAGGATAAAAAACAATAACTGAATTAGAGTGCTAGAGCAAATTATGTGACATTATCTAAAAATCCTGATCATGCAATGTATTTTTCTCCATATCATATAATTAAGTCTGCTTTGGAACAAGGCTATGTAAGTTAAATATGCTAGATATTCATTCATTCATTCATTCATTCATTCATTCAATTTCTAAAGCTGCCCAACTCAACCAAGTGACTCTAGCTGGAGTCCAGGATATTTAAGGACACAAAATCACAATTGTTTATACAAAGATTAAAGTATAAAGTATATTGGTATTAGGTGCATTGGAATGTATAACTACCGTGTTTCTCCAACAATATGCCCCCCCATAGGAAGACCCAGCATGTTTTCTAGGCATAAAATGAAATTAAGCCCCTTCCCCAAATTTAGGCCTAGTTTAAAACATACAAAATGGGGGGGGGGAGGTGGGGGGGGACTTGCCATTAGAAGTGCCCCGCGGGTAGCTACGCCTTGCCATCAGCCGCTCCTAACAGCCAATCGTAGTGGAGCACGGAGGGCTCCCTTACCCCTCCCTTACCCGGGTCAGCAGGTGGGCGGTGTCGGCATGGATGTCCGGCAGTGTTTCAGCCGCTTCTCAGGCCTCCGTAGCTTCCATGGTTCCCACCCGTGCTGGCGCCTCTCTCGCCAGTCTCCAACAACAGCATCTGAGTCGCTCCCATTTTTCCCCCATCCCCGGAACAACAGGAAAAAAAAACATTTTGAGGTGCCGTCTCCAATAACAGCAGCAGCAGCAGCGGGAACCGTGGAAGTTATGGAGATGGCTCCCCCACCCAAGAAGCGGCTGAAATGCTTCCACGGTTCCCGCCGCTACTGCCGCTGTTGTTGGAGATGGCGCTGATGAGAGAGGGACAGCTGCAGCTCGGCCTGGGCGCTTGGAATGCAGGAACGGGCTGCGCACCAGGACTTTTGCAAACTTGCAGAGCCCAAGGCTGGAGCACCAAGGGTAGCAGCAGCAGAGACGCTTGCTCGGCTCTTCTCATGCCCACCCAGCCGCTCGGGATTAAACCAAAACGCAGCGCGCGGCGCTCCCAGGTACCTCAAAATCTTTTTTTTTCCTGTTGTTACAGGGACGGGGGAAAAACGGGAGTGACTCAGATGCTGTTGTTGGAGACGGTGCTAGTGCACCGGGGAGATTAATTCACCCCCCAAAAGACATCCTAGCTGTTTTTTCGGGGTTCAAAAAAAAAATAAGGCCTGACTTTATTTTGTGAGAAACACGGTAATAGGGGGCAATCTTGGAAGGAAAATTATTTTTCCAACAGATCAAAGAGAGTCATCCAAGTTGTTTAAACGAAGTTAAATATTCAAAATTTTCAGAATAAAAAAGGGCATATTCATATATATATTTTTAATTTTGATCTCAATGCTCAAATATCTCAACAATTATTTTAATTTTGCACTAATTCTGTGTATTTGCTTTTTAAAATTCAGTAAATAAGCCAATGTGATCCCAAAGTCACTGAAAACACCACTATCATTCATTGATTAGGAATTATTCATAATCATACATTGAGCAGGTGTGTTCTTTAGTACATATTTGTGGCCAGATGATTTCCTCTTTTTCATCTATATTTCAGGCACCCTCTGATAATTTTTATTTGCAGTATGTGTTGGGTATCCAGGATAAATCTCTCTAAAAGTAAAAAAAAATGCTCCATTATGTGTAAACTTCGCTTCCAAATGTCTATGGAGATTTACAGTCATCCAAGTCATGGTTGTCCCACAAGTGCTTTGTCAAAAGGCAACTGGATTTTGTTTTTCCTTGAAGACATTTTGCTTTTGAAAGGACTTTTGAAAAAGCACCTTTGGGACAACTATGACCTGGATGACTGAGAATCTCCATAGACATTTGGAGCAAAGCTTACCCATAATGGAGCAAAACTATGGAAATGTAAGGAAAAACAATGAAAAAGCACCTTCGGGCCTTCGCTCACAAATCGTTGCTAGTAGTCATTGATGTTAGGGGTTAATTTTGCGTTGTTTTTGCCAAACGTATTTTTATTGGTCAATGACTAAAATAAAATTGATGCCTGTCTGTCTGTCATATACTGTGAAGATTCAGATGATGCCAATGAAGGGGTGGCAATGAAGACATACTCTATGCATTAATGCATACAAAATGATACTGCAGAACTCATATCTCAAGGCTATGCAGTGACATAAGAGCCAAGTACCCTAGTAACTAACATTTTACTGCAGCTAATCTATACAGAAGGTATCCAGTTAAGATTATTATCCCCATGTGATTGAGGCTAATAGCAAGCACTTTATCTACAGTTTCTTAAAAATTCCACGGTTTTAAGAGATTTGCATTGAGTACATAGCAATTTTTTTCTGTTAAATCTGCACACAAGATATATGGATGGGAAAGTTGATCCAAATAGCCTATAACCTGCCACATAATTTAAGAAGCTGCCTATAGGTGGGATGAATACAAATGCCAGTCCTAAGTGGTTTAATGTATTAATGAATATATAATAGCAGCATACTAAGTTTTCTTCTAAGATAGAAATTTGTAAAATTATAATCCAAAGTAACCCTGGACTTGATTCTGAACAATATAATGTCTCATGTGTTATTTGTATGTTAGTGACAAAGCTATACTTAAATTTAATATTTGCACAGTCTTAGGCAACTGCATTCCTGGGATAGGAAATAAGAACCCACAACAAGTTTAATGAGATGTTAAAACACTCCTAGCACAATATTTGACAATTATTTCGGGAAGTAACTTGAATCGTCTGCAGAGTCTAACACAGCAGAACCCTGGCCCCAATCTAAAAGGTTTCATATCCTGGTAATTCACAAATAAGAACAAAAGTTCCCCTATGCTCAGAAAACAAATTTACCTGCTGAGACATATTTTAAGACGGAGCTTACACATTGATCAATTTTTTCTAATGACTATTGCATCTATGGGTGGATGATGTTGAAATATGACTGCCAAGATGAAGAAATTATTCAAAATTGTAACTGAGCTTCCAACAATCTACCAATAATAATTTTGAAACTCTCTCCTTGGAAGCAGGCTTGTCAAATGAGTAAATTATACCACATATTTATTCATTTCTCCTTCATATCAGAATGCAGTATAATGATTTTTTTCTGGGAAAGAAAGAGGTGCCAATAATTCTTGGGCACAGTCATAAAATACTGCACATAGATTATGCCTACCATGACACCAACAACTCCACATTATCAAGAGTTGATGCAGATGTCATTTTATGGTTCCCATATATCAAATGCTGGTAACTGAATGAAACCTCAATGGAATTCCCCACCCCCACCCCCGCCCCCTATAGCTGCTTATCATGTCCAGTAAAAATTGTTCAAAAGTGACAGCCACTAATAAAACACAAAGAATTATTTCTACCTGATGATTACTCATATAGTAGTCCCCTTTATCTCCTTGATACAAAAGCAATACTGATTATATATACAGTTAGTCACTTTGCAAAGGCTTGACTTTGGCGCCCTCCAAATAATAGGGATGTTTATTATCAGTCACCTGGCGGGCAGAAAACATGGATAAGACTTTTCTGTGACCAAGGCTTTCAAAGAGACATGTAACAGGGATAATGGGGTATGTGGGGTTGTCAATCCAACTCTACCAGGAGCCAGAGATGTAACAAATTCTTGGCCTCCATTGCTGCCAACTTTTCTTGTCAGAGTAAGAAACAAGAAGCAAAAAGAGAGAGGAAAGTGCTTTCTCCACTTAAGCAAAAGGTTTGGATGTAGCTTTTTTTAAATTTGAGAATTAAATAATTGGAAAAGCAATCACTACACACCTATTAATTCAAAGAAAGAAAGACAGAAAGTCCTAAACATGCCTGCTCAAAATCTGAATTCAAAAATCCTAAACAAACTTGCTCCAAATTTGAACCTCCCCATGTATCAATATTAGGTGTTAGATTTTAGGTTTGGGATGGGGCACACTGGAAGCAGGAGGTGAAGATTGTAACTCTTAGTATATTCAGAGATAATTTACTGCAAGAAGTGAAGGGTTGCTCCCCTTCCTATGTATTAATCCACCTTCTGCTTAAATCTTGGTGCTTCTGAGCTGGCATTGGCAGGCGTGTTTGATGTACTCTATGCCATGATCTATTTGTTCTTCTGATCTCAGCTGATCTTGCTACATAAATTCCTACAAAAAGCATTAAAATATGATAGAGCTTTATTCTTAGCAAAAGCTGTTGCTACTGCCATGCTACTTAAGAAGCTTGCCAACTGGTTATTCGTCATCAGAGTCAATGGAAGAGCTGCAATCATGTTTACCTGATGTTTCTTGAGATGATCTGCGCCTTTCTCCTGTTCTTCTCCTGTCTCCTGGGTTGCTGCCATTCCATGAAGCCATGCTGGTGCGTACTTTGGTAGAACTGAGTAACCTGAAAAAGGTTATGGGACAGACAAAATAGTCCTTATAACTGTTCCAGGATCACAAGCCCAACTCTTGTTTTCATCACTCAAAAGTCTGCCTCACTTTCTTAGAAAAGCAATCCCCCCCTAATCACTCCTTCCTCTCCAAACATCAATCCTCAACTTCCTTAACTTAATTTTTGACACTATCATTCCCATTATTCTCATAGATATAAAGCAAAAACAGCTCCTGAAAAGCAGATTGGAAATGAGAACTTCTTAAAAAATACTTGCAATGGTTTGAATTGATTGATTTATTTAGAAAATTTATATTTCCGCCTACTCGCACATGGATACTCAAGGAATCTCACAAGGATATAAAAACACCATATAAAAGAAATAAAAATAATACAATGATAATTGCTGAGACAGTGTTGGATGTCAACAGATAGGTAATCTACTTATACCCATATCTTCAATTCTGAGATTGGCAAATTGATATCATAAATAAATATGTCTATATCTGATGAAGTTGTGCAATAAGAGAACATATTTATAAATAAAATATAAGTATAAAGTAATGATTTAGTCATTAGGCTTTATATAAAATGTAAGACTTATTATTAAAACCTAATACTTCAAGTCCTAACCAAGAACCTAAGTATTATTATAGTGCCTTTAAAGAGGCAATTCCATGCAGGGTGTTGTTTTTGTAAAATTAGGGTGTTCAGGTCTTATAAACGCAATAATTACAGATATTGAGGAAGCCTTATGTATCTCTTTGAGGGCTCCCATTATGCTTAGTATAAAACAATAGATTTTTTCTATAAGTGTTTATTATTAAATTAAACATAGTGCAATTCTTTGCTTTCTTGGCCTCTAAAGAGTAGATGAGCCATGGTCCCATTTTTGATACCTGCTTTCTCCCAATTACAGCTTAAATTAGAGACATTTATATTTGAAGTCCACTCATTTTTAGCCTTTCTTTCAGCAATTCTGGGCTGTTTTTTAAAAGTAATGGCCATTTTGATTTTTTGGCAGAAATAGATGTTTGGGAGTGATTTGCTTATCTGCCCAAACCCATGTAGATCTACTCAAGGTAATATGCAGCTGAAGTAAATGCTTATATGACTAAGCAGAGAATCTGGTGCTGCTCTGAAGGGCTGTCTGGCAGCCTGGTAAACAGTACTTTTGAAAGAGGAGGGAAAGAAAATGATGATATTCTGGAAGAGTATGATAAACTCACAATTTAGTGGGCATACAACACAATGGTTGGCTGGATGCCCTGCTTATTTATTTCTGATTAATGGAGCCCAACAATTCTAATCCCCTTAACAATCCCAAAAATCTGCTCTGGACCTCAAAAAACCACTTTATAATCTTTATAATCTTTAGACTCAAGACCCAATTTCTGACTCTATCAGTTGAATATAGATGTTGTTAATTGTTTGGAGAGCCCCTTTTCTTGCTTATGTAAGGAATTATGTGGTTTAGATTAATCAACCTCTGTGTCTTCCTGGGTCTACTTCTGTTTTCACTATTATTGGTCATATGCAATGGTTTCCAAGGAAGGCATAATTTTGTTAAAGAAAGCGTTTCATGGTAGAAGGAAGTTGTTGCTCTTTATATGCAACTACTATAGGAGTTGGAAAAACAGAAGAGGCAAAGGTCTGTTTTATAGGTAGCACTAAGGATCTGTATGACTTGGACAAACTGATAAGCGGTTGCTTATTCCTGGCTTTGCCTTCTGATGCACCTATTTACTTGGGACTGGTTCTGGTTCCTCTTTCATTTCTTCTGCAAAAGAACACCACTAGAATTGTGCTGAATTAACTCTTTCCTAATTGGAAGGAAAGAGAAGAGGTTGACTAGGAGTAAGGTGGATGAACAAAGGCAACATGTGCATCCTTGGGAAACTTGAAAGAACAGGTTAGGGATAAATTGTCATGGAGAACATCTATCTATGTGGTGCCTAGGACTCAAAATGACTTGATGATACATCAATCAATCAGCTGATGGATGCCCTGAAGTTGCTTGTATTTTCATAGGTTTATTTTTACATTTCTAACATGCAGGATAAAAACATTTTTTAAACTTTTACTATTTTAAATAGAGACTGAACCAAAAGAAAGTTAAAAAAAATACAACTTCAGATAAATTAGGAGAAAAAAGAAAAACATTCCTTATAAATATTTGTAATATTCATTGGACTTCTAATAAATATATATTACAAAATAGATCTATCTTAACAACAAATATTACAGCATCTTCTGATTAGTAAGGAATACTGCATTTTTCAAACCATATAGATCATGTATTTCTGACAAACATTGCTTAACATTTTAAATAATATCACTTTTCCAATTTCTCAATATGATTCTTCTAGCTCCCCCATGTGATATACCCATAATTCCTGATAAACAAATTCCAACGTTTTGGTAAATAGTTCAATCTCATATTAACGTCCTTAACATTTAGAGAGTTTCCTATAAATTTGCTTATACATATTAAAACATTATTCCAAAAAGATATCAATTTATCCCATGACCATATCATATGGGTCAATGAATCCTCAAACATTTTATACTGCACCTCCAAAATAGAAAATCTGATGTCCATATTTTAAAATATACTCCTTGGAGAGTCCAATACACCCTAAATACATTTTAATGATTTGAATGTACCATAGGGAAAATCTAACAATTCATTTGCTTCTAATATGCCTTATTGTTAAAAAAGGTGGTAGTCTCTTTGAATTCTGGGATAATGTGACGCTCTAACACAACAAATCATATATAGTTGCACAGGAACTGTCCTTCCCATGAATAAAAGATATTATTTCATTGGGCTAGGGTTTGGCAAGAAATATATTGCATATAGTTTTCTAAGGAGATTCTCAGTCATCCAGGTCATGGTTGTCACAAAGGTGCTTTTTCAAACTTTCCTAGTTTTTCCTCAAGGGAAAACAGTAATAGAATGATACAATTTTAGAAAGGAAAACAAAGAAAAACATTGACTCTCATTAACACATGTGTGTCTGCAGACAACAGATATATTACAACACTAACACCTTCACAGAGGTGCTGGGGCCATGTACTTAGTTTTAAGACATCCAGTGGATTGTCAATATGTGGCAATAGTTTGCCACATGATCAACAGATATCAAAAGTATTACAGTATGTAGAAATGAGACTCTGGCCCATCTCAATGGGGTCAACCCATTTTTATTCACAAATGTGTTAGGTTTCAATAAAATCAAATTACAAAAACCTTACCAACCTTTTTTTTTAATAGACCAGATTTCAATGCCTAAATGTAAACATTTTCTAAACTAAATAAACATGACAGCATAAAAATATTCCTTTCAGATTTATATGCTGTAATTTAAGGACCTCAACACAGAGAAGTCTTGCAGCACTATTAAGAAATGTAAGAGGTGGACAACTGGTTTGTAAATTTAGCACCGCTTACAATCCAAGCCTGAATCCCATGCCTGAAGCAAAATTTTAAAAGATAGTGCAGCCCCCTCTTTAATTTGCTTGGGACTCCGGTCAACAACTACAGTTTGAGAACCTCTGTGTAAAGAAATAACTAATCTCTGCAATGGGATCTTAAATTCTAAATAAATAAGGGTTTAGTCTTAAGCTAGAACATTTTTCTTCCCCTTACTTGAATAAATTTCTGAGTCCTTGAAATGTCATAATCCATATTTTTGTTCAGAACAATTCACAGACGGTTAAAAGGGGAAAGACATATCATCTTCTATGAGGGCGCTCAGTAATAAATTACTGGCAGTAATGAAATAATCTGCTGAGTCTATTTTATATTTATATGACCGAACTCTTTGCCACACATTCAAAAGAATAGGAAATGCCATGAGAATTAGCCCATTTAGCAAATTGTGTCTATCACTGAATGTATGTGTGTGTATAAAATATTTTTTCAAATGTTATTCCTATTTCATTATTTATTTTGTGGAAAAATGTCACTGCATGTTGGCAACTAATTTTGTACAATGATACAATTGTACAAAATCACCATGGAGACTACAATGAGGCCTTCATACATCAGTGCAATGAAAAACTAAAGCCATTAATAATGGAAACTGATAAATTACTATTGCATCAAGTTATGACAGCGAGACCAATGTTGCCAAGGAATATCACAGAATTCTAGATCTTTAAGTTTCCTGAAAGGTTTTATTCAAAATAATATTGGGTTGCACTAGGAAGGTAATTTGTGTAGCATGATTTACCACATTATGCCAGGGCTGAGTACGCCAATTTTTCCTCTATTGACTGTTTACTTGATAATTCATTTACAGATACATAATTCACTTGGCTGTTCCTTTTTCTCTTTATTTGCAGGGAGTTCCTATTGGGGGGAAAACTGTCAATCCTGGATAATATAGCTTGTTGACTGAAGGCAATGAAAAGTGAATGTAATATAAAATGTATTATTTTGTTCATAGCCCTTGCCCATTCAACAATTCTAGTTGATGGAAGCCTTGATGTTCTGCCTCTTGGTCTTACGTAGAGATTATTTCCCACACTCTGGTTGTTATTTCCCCCCCTAACCACTATTGGTTTTCCCCCTCAAGACTGAATTAATGGTAGAAATTGAATACAAAGTTATACTGGAGAGGCACAAACGAAAAATAGAATTTGTGCCTAGTCTACTACCCAAATGGCAAACTAAGTGAACACAATATTTGAAATTATTGCTAACGAACTGCTTTTAAAAAACCTTAACAGATTTTAAAGAAAAAAATAATATAGTCAGTATGTTTTGATACTGCTTGGAAACAGATATAATTCTGATGTGTTTATTCAGAAGATGAACATTCCAATATTCCAATACTTCAGATGACGTAAAAACATCCTCTAAGTCCAGCATTCTAATTAATATAGTGGTCAATTTGTTTTCAATTGGGAAACTTGTTTGTCTGGACTAGTGTGTGGTATCTTCCTTTATTGGTTCCCAGCAAATAGCATTTAAGGCATGATGCTGATGACTGGGAGGACAAGAGGGTTTTCAAAGGAGTACTTTGAATATCAAAGACCTACTTCATAGATGAGGTATTGTAACAGCGAAGGCATGTTTACAACAGAATGGGACAACTCGCCCCAGCCAACTCACCACGACCAACTCGCTGTAGGACAACTCACCGTGGGACAATTACACAATTCAAATTAATTATTTAAAATAAATTAAAAATATTTTAATTTTTGTCATTCACATTTCATTATGTCCCTCCTTTTGCATCCTTTATTTAATTATTCTATTCCACCACTTCTCTGATATATTAGCATAAGTCTTGCCTTGCAGTGACTTGTCCCATAGCAAGTTGGCCACAGCAAATTTTCCTGCACAGAGTTGGTCACAGCAAGTTAGTGTGGTGAGTGGGCTGTAGTGAATTGTCATAGAGTAGACCCTGCTCATCAGAGAACATTGCTTAATGGATGGGACATGAAGAATATCTGTTCTATCAGACTCTGAGAGATAGAAAGTAATGAAGGGAGAGAAGTGATCACTCAGACCACCTCTCTCTCCTCATTTAATAAGCAGCCATCAAAATTCCTACCTACTAATAGCCTAGTCTGCTATGAACCTGCCCAGTCCTGTTGGCTATTGTTACCACTAGCCTCTTAGCCAACTTTTCTAGCCAGACAGGCTCAGACATACCTAGTCTACAGTCACTCATTTTTGGACATGGAATTTATTCTTGCTAGAGAGGCAAATAAGATTCTTCTCCAATTTCTAATTAAAGTTATAATTTGCAGGAGGAACAAAAAGGCATAGAGATAACACTGGTTCTAAGTGTTGTCTATTCTCTAGAGCAGAAACGTTAGCTAAAAGCTGCTCTAAGTTTAATATAGTTTTGTGCTTTTCAATCTGATCTCTGGCAATAAAGGGAACAGCTGGATTAAGAACCACAAAAACGATATGAAAAAAGTGTTTTAGGGATCATGCGAACACCACATCTCTCTCCTATTCAAAAGCCAGCATATATTTCTTTAAGATTCCCCCCATTCAAATAAGTGCAATTCTGAAAGGAGCATCATCTTCAGGATTGTATGGAAGCTTGAAAAATATTGGTCAGCTTTAATGAAGGGCCTATAATACTCAGAATGGTTTCCCATAAAAAGAAACCCCAAGCATAATTGCCTCATTCTTTTCTTCCTTCAATTCCCTGCTATAGCTCCCATATTCCATTGTAATGCAACAAAAGACATGCTGCTTTTAATCACCACTTTTTGTTTCACTGGTTACTCCTGCAGTCATTTTCCTCCCTTTGCCCTTTAATTTTCTTGGTGGCGTTTTAGACAGGACAACAATGCGTCCTGCTGCTGGAGAACTAGGTTCAACGATAACCAAAACTGCCAAGCACAGATGAAATGATGCTTCACTAAGTCCATGAACACAATTAGCAAATTTTATATATATATAAAATATATATATATATATATATATATAGGTAGTCCTCGACTTATGACCACAATTGAGCCCAAAATTTCTGTTGTTAAGTGAGACATTTGTGAAGTGAATTTTTTTCCTATTTTACATCTTTTCTTGCCACAGTTGTTAAGTGAATCATTGTGCTTGATAAGTTAGTAACCTGGCTATTAAGTGAATCTGGCTTCCCCATTGTCTTTGCTTGTCAGAAGATTGGAAAAGGAGATCACACAACCCTGGGATACAGCAAAGGTCACAAATATGAACCAGTTGCCAAGCATCCGAATTTTGATCACATGATCATGGGAATGCTACAAAGGTTGTATCTATGAAAAATGATCATGTCACATTTTTCAGTGATGTTGTAACTTTGAACCATCACTAAATGAACTATTGTTAAGTCGAGGACTACCTGTATAACTCTACCTCTGGAAACCACCAACAACAACAACAATAAAATCACTGAAGTATGCTGCAGTTCCTCCAGGCAACCAACTGGCAACTCCAGGCAATAAATGTTTCTCACATGCAATTGCCAGGCTTGTGAACAGTAAGAATCCCAGTGCACATAATACAAGAATCTTCTTGCTTTCTTGGAGTAAACAATCCATTGGGCCTGCTACACACAAAAGAATTTAGAGTCTTCCGTGTTAACTTCTGTACTGCACTCCTCTGACCTTTTATCATAGTAAATCATTTACCGCACATCCTAGTCTTGGTTTGCCTGTAGCAAGGCTACAGAGAAAATCAACTTGACCTAAGACGGATTCTTAAGAAGTCCTATTTGAACTTTACTGTATCAAACATAAAGGCTATTTTGTTAAACAAATTATTCCAGTTGTTACTGGCCCAAATGCCACCATGTGTTTGGGAAATTTGTCTCTAAACAACTTAATTATACATTCATTTAACCATGGCTAATTAAATAAACAGCTGATTGGGTTTATATATCCCATTCTTTTTACCACATGGTTTAATTTTAGCTTAGTGTCTTTTGTGAACCTCAACCAGATTCTCTCAAATCATGAAATATACAGGAGCTAAAGAGTGTATTAAACAGGCAGGTCATTTTGACAAATCATTAAGCTGGCATCTAAATTTGAAGGGGATGGTGATTCTATTTGTTTCTTTATTCTCTTTCACAGTAAATAGCAAAACAAGGATAGGATTGGTTCTTACTTTAATATAAGGCCATCAAGGAATACCAAGGCACAAAACTCCCCCCCCCCCAAATCTCAGAAGGTACTAAGGGCAAACCACTTCCCTACCGCTGCCAATAAAACCACACTGATAACAAAACATCAAGAATAAATCTCAACTGAGGACTCTACCTCTGGAAACCAAACACTGTTAATTTACAACTGCATGAGGTATTTAACTGCTTCATTCTTGTCACTTTGCAACTATTGTTGCTTTTGTGTATTGTTGCTTATTTAGAGGGAAACCAACTACCAAAGTAATTCTTTGCTTTTTCCCCCCTCCTTTTATTCTGTCTTCCTGTTCCTCAGCTATCCCCCAATTAAATCTGCAATGGAACATGAAGAGTTGTGACTGATAGATTAAACTGATGAAGTCATTTTTGATAATTATGAAAGTGAAAGTCAAATATCTCTGGACTATCCAAATTAGGGTAGAAGCCACCTAAAGCCACTCCTATGCTATGTACTTTTTTTTGTCCTGGATAACACATGGTATTCATATTTGCGTAGGAGAAACAATGATTAATCGCTAGGTAAAGGAGGTTCAGAAAAGCTTCATTTTCTGATACCTAAGCTGAAACAGTACTTTATATTTATAGTGTGAACACAGTCAGATTTAATAATAATTTAATCTTTAACGGAACAAATTCTAGAACCATATTCCTAAAAAATCCACCTTAAACTAATGCAAATACTTTACTAACTTCCAGATACATGAACTTGAACTCCCTGAATTCCCCAACCAGTATGTCTACTGCTGACAATTCTGAGAGTTGAGGTGCATAGATCTGGAAGTTGCCAATGTTCTAAAGCTATATCATAAGTTAGATTTTGACAAAACATAATTAAACTATCTACTAACAAACTCCATGCAAATACATGAATTGGCAAAACACAATGAAACTTAAGTTAAAGCTAAACTGACTAGATTCATGCAACCCAATAAGATTCCATCTCATATGCTTCCTGTTGTGCAAACACACACACACACACAAACACACACACACACACACACACACACACACACACGTATATAAATTAAATTCAGGTGAAACAAATGTTAACTCTGGCAACAGAACACTTAATACTTGTGATAACCCGTCTTGCTGTGGACAGTTAAAACTGAAGGGTTTTTTTAGTTATCGCAACGTTATCGGAGCAAGCCTTACACTTTCCGGTGCTAGTTTAAATTGGTTTTTGTTACTCCCAAGAAAAGGCAGCAGTACTTCGTGCAGCCCAACATTATAAGGCGCAAGAAATAAGGACCAAGTTAAAACCACCGCCAATGGACATTTATAACTCACCTCGAACATTTGTCATTGTTAACAGTACCATCGCTAAGAGGGGGGAAATGACCGTAAGTCCGTTAGGAAAACACGGACACCCCTTCTAAATGTCACGCCCCGGGTCATACGCACATTAATCCGGAATAACTGACACCCCGCTGTTCCCAACTTACAATATCTATCTTTCAAGGACGAGGGCCAGGTTTTTAGCCCCGGCGATGCACCGCAAAGCTCGGAGGGAAGAAGAGGTGGAGAGTTCCGTTCTGCTTTGCGGCAATCTCTCGCCTGGAGGCTCGTCCTTCTCCCCGGGTCCTCCCTGCTTGACCCTCCTGCTCCTCGGAAGCACCTCTAGGCCTGCGGCGCACTTTTGCTCAGCCGAGCAGGCGGCGCTTCAGAGCGCAAAGCCTCGCCAGCAGCCTTGCATCCCCAGCTCCGCATCCAGCCGAAGGCCCGAAGAGACAACCCCCCCACCCCCGTGACGCACCCAGGAAAACCGCCCCCCCTCCAAGAGAAACAGATGCAATGCTTCTTCCTGCTTCCTTGGACCGGGAAGAGGCAGAAGATCGCGGCTCCTGCACGGCTCGGGCATCCCACAACGTCAGGACCCGCCTTCGCGCGGATTCCCCGCCTTTCCGGGCCGTGGCACTCACCCCGCTTCTGGGGATCGGTGGCGAGGGTCACCTTTCCACCCAGCCGGCTTTTCCACGGGCTGCTCAGAAGAAAGTGGACAGGGCCTCGCCCGGCTCCTGCGCCGCTTTCGTTCTCTGCCGCGCGCAATCTTGCGCTGCCGGGCAAGCGAAAGCCGGAGATCCTTTGCTCCGAAAGGAAGGATGAAGTTTAAAATAATAACAATAATAATAATAAAAAAAATCATAGATGCAAAGCAGGTGAAAGCCACGGGACTTCTGGCAGCGCCCTCTAGAGGGCGTGTTCTTTGTAGTCGCCTTATGCTGTGCGGGAAAATGGGGTGGGTGGGAAGGAAATCGCTTCCTTTTGCCCTGCGCAAACGGGGCTCGAAAACGTACGCTCGAACACGTGGGCTGCACACCACTGTATCCCCTGGCAGGAGACGGTTATGCACAGCGCAGAAAAGGGGTTTGAAAATCCAAAAGGGAAACTTGCTAAGTCTACACAACAAGGGTCTTCATACTTGGCACGTTTGAAGACTTGTGGACTTCAACTCCCAGAATTCCTGAGCTAAGCTGGCTGGAGGAGGAATTCTGGGAGTTGAAGTCCACAAGTCTTAAAGCTGTCAAGTTTGAAGACCCCTGCTATACAATAATACCATTCATCCTGTGTGTCCATTTTTGTTTGGCGGGGTCTGGTCAGCGTTGATTCCTGGGCTAGTCCCTTTACTTTGGAAGTGCTTTGTCATTGCCTCCCTCCTAGGGCTGAGAAAGTGACCGGCCCAAGGTCACCAGTTGGCTTCATGCCTAAGGTGGGACTAGAACTCAGGGTTTTCTGGTTTCTAGCCTGATGCCTTACCCTTCAAACACCACTTCTCCCTATCTCTCTGAAAACCATTTTTTGTTTCTTACCACTTTCTACATTGCCTAGTTTCTCACCTTACTTATCAACTCCATTCAGCTGTGTATTTTTGGAAGCTTCCCTTTTTTGCCATTCACACACACTTCTTTCATATATGGAAGAAGTCACATATTTGTGACTTGATTCTTAATTCATTATTTAAAATGCACTCAGTGTTGCCAGAGTTCAGCTGAAGCCTGTTATTCCCCATGATCTCCAGACATTGGGATAGAGCATCAGGAGCATCACTTAATTCATCAGGGATAAAGATGTATTGATACCTCACCTCAACAAGAGATATATATTTTTGTCAATTGCTTACAAGATAATAGATATAAGTAAAAACATAGTTATGAATACATGGATACACATAAGAAAAATAAAAATAAAAGAAACAATAGGACAGGGATGGTAGGCACATTGTTGCTCTTATGCACGCCCTCTATAGACCTCTTAGGAAAGGGGTGAGGTCAATAGTAGAGTCTAAGATTAAAGTTTTTGGGGTTTGGGGAAGAAACCACAGAATCAGGTAGAGTATTCCAGACATTGACCACTCTGTTGCTGAAGTCGTATTTCCTGCAATCAAGTTTGGTGCGATTAACCTTGAGTTTGTATCTATTGTGTGCTCTTGTGTTGCTATGGTTGAAGCTGAAGTATTCATTGATAGGTTGCAATGTATGATTTGCAATGTATGATTTGCAATCATACATTGCATTGCAATGTATGATTTTATATACTATACTTAGATCGGACCGAAGGCGGCATAGTTCTAGGTTTTCTAGGTCTAGAATTTCAAGTCTGGTGGCATAAGGTATTCTGCAATGAGTAGAGGAGTGGAGAACTCTTCTTGTGAAATATTTCTGGACTTTCTCAACTGTGTTAATATCAGGTACATAATGTGGGTTCCAGACTGATGAGCTGTATTCGAGTATTGGTCTAGCAAATGTTTTGTATGCTCTAGTTATTAGTGTAATATTGCCAGAGAAAAAGCTACATAAGATTAGGTTAACAACTCTTAATGTCTTTTTGGTTATGTAGTTACAGTGGGCTCTAGCACTTAGGTCGTTAGAGATGAGCACTCCAAGATCCTTGACAGAGTTTGGATCATCAACAAGGTCTTGACTATTCAGCCTGTATTTTATTTCCTGATTTTTTTTTGCCAATATGTAAGACAGCGCATTTATTTGTTGAGATTTGAAGTTGCCATTTGTTTGACCATTCTGGTACATAGTCAAGGTCTTTTTGAAGGGTAGCAGTATTGTCTGTGGTGTTGAATAGCTTTACATCATCAGCAAGTTGCTCTTGATATGATCACAGAGGTCATTTATGTAGAGTATGAAAAGAGTTGGTCCTAGAACTCTGCCTTGGGGGACACCACTGTTGACAGGTACAGAATTTGATAAGACTCTCCTAATTGTGACCATTTGTTGTCTGTTTGACAGGAATGCTTCTATCCAGTTATGCAGGTGTCCAGAGATACTGTAAGATTTTAGTTTTCGGAGTAGTTTGTTGTGTACCACTGAATCAAAGGCTTTACAGAAGTCTATGTAGATTGCGTCTATTGCTTTGCCCTGATCAAGTTGTGTAGTCCATATGTTTTTGCAGTGTAAGAGTTGCAGATTACATGATCGTTTTTTTTCTGAAACCAAATTGTTTATTAGAGAGTAGGTTGTTTGTTTCTAAGTGGAGGATGATGGATTAGTTAATAATTGATTCCATGAATTTACAGGTGACGCAGCATAAAGAGATTGGTCTGTAATTTTCAACTAGGCTGGGGTCTCCCTTTTTGAAGATGGGGATGACCGTGGCTTGTGACCATAGTTTTGGCAAGGAGCTGGTCCTGAAAGATTTTTCAAAGATTATGCTTAGAGGTTCAGCTATGGCAGTGGGTAGCTTTTTTAAGAAGTAGGCACATATTCCATCCATTCCAATAGATAGAGATGGTTTTAGATTGTGTGGTGCTTTTTCAACATTGTCTTCCGTAAAATCGATATGTATTAGATCATTGTAATTGTCTGTTCGACTAGGAAATACTGGGCATGATCCATTGCTGTTTACAAATACTGAGCCAAAGAATGTGTTAAAGAGGTTGGCTTTAATGGTGTCATCATTGCAGTCTTTACCATTAGGTCCTTTCAGGGGTGGGATGGACCTTGAGTCTTTTAGTTTGTTGTTTAAAAAATTATAGAGAGCGCAGGTGAAATTTGTGCGTAGGTTTTCTTCCTGTTTAAAGTGATAATTGGTGCATTCAGTTTTTATCTGGTGGCATAAATTTTTGTATCAGCTTTTGAAGTTGGCAACGTGACCAGATTTGTTTTTCTGGCAAAGTGATTTCTTTTTGAATTGAAGCTTCCTTATTGTTATGGATAATTTGTTTTTTCTGGTTTGGGGAGTTAATGGTACATATAGTTTGATGACTCTTTTGACTTCAAGTAAAAATATGTTGTAATGGTCTTCTACAGTATTACATCCAGAGAATAGAAATTGCCAATCAAGGGATGATAGATCGTTGTTTATAAGATCATAGTTGCCTTTTTTGAAGTTATATTTGGGGATTCCGTCATTGTGATGATTTTGTGTGGACGCATGTTAAGACAAAAGTCAATCATGTTGTGGTCACTGTTGGAAAAGGGTTCTTTAATTTGTATTCTGTGAATTGAATTCAAACTATTGCAGAAGATGAGATCGAGGCAGTTGTTTAGTGTTGTTGGTTACTAGTTGTTCTAGTCCCAGATTTGTTACTGCATTGTAGAAGGTTGCATGTGTGGGTTCAGTTGTACATTTGTTAAGGGTCCAGTTGATATGAGGTAGATTGAAATCACCAAGAAAGATAAAAGTGTGTGGGTAGGATGTTAGTAGTGTATTTAGCTTGTTTGCATGTTCGATGTCATAATCAGTAACATAGTAAGAACCGAAATGTGATATTTAAGGACAGTTCACAGATGATGGTCTCAGAATATTAAGGCAGAAGAATAGTTCATGTAGATGTTAAATAAAGAGGGCACTAGAGTTTCCTCATGAGAAATGGTGAGTTAAGATAACTCTGTGATGGCTAGGAACAAAGAACTGGCAAGTAGATTGGTTGCACAGAAACTTCCTGGACAAAGAGAGGATGGGAAATTGCCCTCTTATGCTCTATATCAGGGGTCACCAACTTTTTGGAGCTCAGGGACCACTGAACTCATAATTTTAAATCCCACGGATAAGAGACCCTGGGGAAAATCCCCCCAAAAAGTCTGCGGAAAATTCCCTACCCTGTTTTCCTACCAATCAATTGTTCTTTATTTGGGATCGCAGGATGCTGTCTCCAGCTCCATTCTCAGGGGGTTGGGGAGAGAGAGAGAGGGAGGGAGGGAGAGAGAGAGAGAGAGAGAGAGAGAGAGAGGGTGTTTTGGTTTCATGCAAGGAAAGCAGCAGAAGCAGCAGAAATCTTTCTTTCTCTCCCCCAAACTCTGCCAGAAATGAGTCTTTGTGAGACTTGTCGTGCTGGTGCAGCCTCTTGGAGCAGGATGCCTTGCAGGATCTCAAAGACACATTTTTGGAGGAGTTTGAGGGAGAAAAAGAAAACCTTTTGCTGCTTTCCTTGCATGCAGCCAAAAGCAGAATTGGAAAGAAACAGAAAGATGCAGCCCGGTGGCCAATCGAGGGGCGTGGGGCAAGCTTCCCCCCTCTACCTTTTCCCGATCCCCTCACTACTTTGTATTTTCGCAATGCGAGGGACACAAGCCTTTTGTTCCCGCAGGCCATGTGGGTGATGCAGCCTTGTGTTCCCATGCAGCTGAATTAATTGCTTTGAGGGGTGCTTTGGCGGGGGGGACATTTTTCTGCAGACCACCAAAATTTTCTCATGGACCACCAGTGGTCTCCAGCCCACTGGTTGGCGACCAATGCTTTATATGGGTACTCCTTGCAAGGAGCTTGCAGGGCAGGACAGGACAGCGGTTTCCCTTGGGTTTGAATGTCAGGTGGCAAAGGAAACCCTCATGCTTTCAACCATGATGAAGTCTAGTCTT